CCCCGTAGGCGATGTTCTCCGCAATGCTGTAGCTGAAGAGCACCGGCTCTTGGGACACCAGCGACATCTGAGAGCGCACCCAGTCCACGGGGAGGCTGCTGATGTCCGTCCCGTCCAGTAACTAAATGGGCAGATTGATTAGTAAGAGGCTATTTTAGAAGTAAAGACTCACAATCTTTCCCTTGGAGCACTCGTAGAACTGCTCCAGCAGCTGAACGGTCGTCGACTTTCCACAGCCACTCGTACCGACCAGTGCCACCGTTTCACCCTTCTTTGCACTGAAGCTCAGTTCACTGAGCACCTCAGTCTCTGGCCGACTCGGGTAGCTAAAGTGCACTTCACTGAAGTCCAAATTGCCTTCAGCGCGACCAGTTGGTGGTTTAGTCACTTGACCCTTTGTCTTTTGCGCTGGCTTTGAATCAATCAACTTGAAAATATTAAACGCCGCCAACTTTGCCTTTGTGTAGTCAGAGGAGAAGACGGCAGTTCTGCCGACAACCAACGCACCAAAGACCATCGATTCTGATATTCTGTTAAGCAGCCAACATTAGTCACCATATCAACAACTCCAATTCCAAATCACTCATACCGAAAAAAGTCTCCTGAAGAGAGCCAACGCCTGCCAATAAAGTACCCACCGGCAAAGTAGCAGACGGCATAGGCGAAAAAGGCCGTCGCCTGTGCGACCGCAATCAACAGCGCCTTCTTCGCCACCTGCGCCCGGGCAGTTCGCTGGTGGGCGTCCAGCAGCTTTCCCAGTCGACCAACAAAGTACTCCTCCTTGTGCAGCGAGACGACCGTCTTCAGTGCGTTCACCACCTCAATGAGCAGCCGACCAGTGGCGGCTGCCACCTCCCCATCAGCCCTCACCGCTCCTCTGTGCAGACCGGAGGCGGCCACAGCAGACGCCCCCACCAGTGGCATCAACAGCAGGGCCACCAGTGCCAGCTGCCAGTTGACGGTGAAGCCGATGGCAATGGCGGCCACCAGCTGCGACAGCGCCTGCATGATCATCGCCAGTCGCAGACCGGTCAGCCCTTGAATGTCGGCGGCGTCGTTCGCCAGGCGGGCCACCAGTGCTCCGGAGGTGTTTTCCGGCCGGTCGAACCAGCTGATCGGCTGCGAGAGAATGGCGGAGAAGGCACTGGAGCGCAGCTTCTGCGTCAGCTTTCCGCTGATGAAGCCAAAGAGGGAAATCTGGGAAAAATGGGAGATGCAAAATGGGTAAAGAA